GCATTGATGACGGGAAACTTCCTGACTCCATTGGGGGGATGGTCAAAATTATGGTCCCTTTTTGGGTCCCCTAAATTAGGGCCCGTATGAGGCCCCGTGTTATAATAGGGACCCAAAAAGGGACCATAATTTTGACAATCCCCCATTAAGGTTCATGGCGTTGTTGTACGTCCCACGGACACCTTGAAAACCTTGCGTGAGGTCTGTGTGTTGGCAGGCGTGGGCAAGTCAGGTGGCAAACAAACCGTATATCAAAGGTTGTGCAGTTTTGTCACAAAGTATGAGCTCAGGCAACGAGCAGATGCTCAGCCAAACGTGCCCATTCCTCAGGAAATCCCACCTGTGCGTGAGCCGACAGAAGAGGAGCGCAGACCTCATGATCTGTGTCACTTGCCCTACCGGAACTGGTGCAAGTTTTGCGTATCGCACAAAGGGCGCAGCGAGATCGCTTAAACCCCAATCTCTAAATCCTTAATGCCCAAACCTAATTGGAATCCCCAAAGTCCTAAACTGAACCATTCTGCATAAAACCGCAAGCCGTAAACCTCAATCCCTAGATCCTTAAGCCCTAGTCCCTAGTACCCCTCGGCCCTAATCCGTAAATCCATCCTTATGAATTACAGCAACCCTAAACCTTAAATCTTAAACCCTAAACCCTGACCCTGAACCTTAAACCCTAAACCCTATAAAGCCCCTAAGAGGACCGTGCACGTCCCCTGCGCCTCCGCGGGAAGCAACGCTCAGAGCTCTTCCCAGTGCCTGGAGCCGCCGAGGAGGCCCAAGGACTTTACTTCTAGGGATTGGGGTTAGGGTCTAGGGTTTAGGGTTTAGGGATTGGGGTTAGGGTCTAGGGATTGGGGTTTAGGGTTTAGGGTTTGGGTACTGCCCCCACCCAGTAACAGTCTATATTAGGGGGCGTATTAAGGGTTATATATACCTATAATATAGTATTATCCAACTGTTACTGAGGGGGGGGCAGGACCCAAGGTCTAGGGTTTAGGGATTGGGGTTTGGAGTTTAGGGTTTGTAGCTTGCGGTTTAGGTTTAGAGTTTGCGGGTTTAGGGTTGACGATCAGGGATTAGGGTTTCTGGGTTGGCTTTTGGGATACTCAAATATGATCCCTTGTTGGTTTCAGGAAGACCTATATGGGTGGTTGTCAAAATTATGGTCCCTTTTTGGGTCCCTATTATAATACAGGGCCTATAATCTAGGGACCCAAAAAGGGACCATAATTTTGACAATCCCCCATATATTAGTATTTCAAAAAGGGTCCGAAGGCACACCAAGGTTTAAGGATTGGGTTTTAGGGTTGAGGCTTAGGGTTTAGGGTTTTAGGGTTTAGGACTTAGGGTTTAGGGGTTTATGGCTTATGGGTTGGAGCCTACAGGGTTAGGGTTTAGATTTAATTTTTCGGGCTTGAGGGGTTACCCGAAATGCCCAAAATAGCTGAATCAAGGAATGTTTCCCAAATGAGGGGTACCGCAGGTTCCCGGGGTATAGGGGATATGTATAGATATGTAGCGATTTAAAGGGTTTAGGATTTGAGGAGTTTTCTAGGCTCCGTATAGAAGCGGTTACGCGGGGTTTCAGTTGCTGGTTGAAGAGGAAGTGGAAACTACGGCGCTAAGGCTTAGGCTTTACGGTTTAAGGTTCGCGGTTCAGGGTTTTAGGGTACGCATGGAAAACATGACATGGATCCTGGGGGCTTACAGGGATACAGAGTTTTTTGGTTTAGGGGCAGCTCGCTTTTTTGTGATTCGTAGGAATTCAGGAATGCAAAAAGAAAATGCAATCTTAAACCCAAAATCCTGGACCCTGAACCTGAATTGGGAGTCATGCAGGGGTTTCTGGAGAGATCCATTCCTGCATTTCCTACTAGCAACTAGTAAGGTCAGAAGTTCAGGGTTAGGCCAGGGGTTGTTTCCAAAAAAGGGGATGTGGGAGATGTATACGGGTAAGCAGAGACGTAGAGAGTTCAGGGTAGGAAAGGAAACGAACAGAATCAATTGGGTTGCTTGAAACGGCTGATACAGGCTCTTGTAAAAGGCATTCTATAAGATTTTGTAGGGGTATAGAGGGGTTATAAAGGGTTGTATGGGGTTCTTTGCATTGGTATGGAGGTTTGGGGTGTCGGGGTTCCAAGGCACATGAATTAGGAATTCTAATCCCTTTTTGGGAATCCCATGAGTAAGGTTTTCAAAGTATACTTGAACCCAACAAGGACCCCATGATTATCAAATGACACTCATGGGGTCAACATTGTAGGGTTGGGCTGGCCACAATCCTCATATGCCCCTTGAAAAACATGAGAAACATCTACGCACTTTGGACGTACTCACGAGACCAACAGCCCAAGCCAGTAATCCCTGATCCCTACACCGTAACCCCAAGCCCTAATCTCTACCTAGGACTCCAGTAGTACCCTTTTTCACTTTTCATTTTGGGATTTCCTTTTGAAAGCTGAACACTATGAAACGGGATGCCCTTATCATGAAGGGGGTTTGGGGTTTAGGGTTTAGGGGTTACTGGGAACCTAACTGAATCCGAAAGCCCGAAACTTGTCCAAATCCCATCTTTTTTAACCTCTAAACCTGAGCCCCTAGACTTCCTCGCTGTGTTTTTTCTAATTTTACGTGGATAACATGGGCTTGCTGTAGGGGTGAATATGCAGAGAATCTGCAGACATATGAGCTACAGTCTAAACTCCTTAAGGGGGAAGATATAAGGGATCGTATAAGGGGATACTAAGAGTTTACTCTAAACCCTAAACCCTATACTATAAGGGTTAAGAAAGGGGATACTAGGAGTTTAGACTATAGCTCATATATATATATATGATTAGAGGTATAGGCGTTTCTGGAAGTCTTTCCATACAATCTGAGGAACCCCATAGTCCCGCCATGTTCCTTCCATATAGTCCCCCTTAAGTAGATAGAATATGGGGGTATATGGGAATCTTAACACAATATACCCAGAGCCATATTCTATCGACTTAGGGAGGACCCTACTCACTTGCGGGGAATTTGAAGCTTTTTGTTTCGAGAGTGCACATTTCTTAAGTCCACGCAGTTGAGCGCCAATGAAAGTCTGCCAACGCAAAACCCTGAAGTCTATCCTTATATGCCCCCGTTGTAGGCCACAAAGCCCATAGGCGTCGAAATCTGAACACTAAACCCTGAACCACCATGAAGCGCTGGAAGGGCACAGCAATCTTTAACCTAAACCCTAAACCCTAAACCTTAAACGCAATCTTTCATGCAGAAGCCTCTCCAGCCCGATCAGGCCGATCAAGAGGCAGATTCCCATGCTATCTCCCAGCCGCAGGCACATGGGTAGTTCCCAAAATTAGGATCCCATTCCGGTACCCGTAAATATGAGGGGGGTGCCGTCATCTAGTCTAGAACCAAAAGGGGCCCATAACTTTCAGAACGACCCACATGGTTCAGGATTTGGGGTTTAGGGTCTAGGAGTTAGAGGGCTTAGGGCTTAGGGTTTAGATGTTAGAGGCTCTTAAAGACTTTAAGTTTGGACCCTGAATGTTTGTAAGCCTAGGTTTGGGGTCCCAAATACCTTTATTCAGGGCCATATTCCATAGCTTAGGCTCCTAAGCCCTAGGGTCATGATATCTGATATCTAGGGTTTGGTGTCAAGGATAGGGATTGTGATAGGCGAAGCTTTCTTTCATCACAAGAGCTTGTAAGAGCTTTCAGTCCCAAACCTACAGGTTGTCAGTAGTGAATGGAGGAAATGTTCCCTGCACAATGCCCAAAAATAGTCCTAGGGCATTGCCCCCACAGTAACAGTTGAATAATGAGTATACAGACAGCTCCAGTTAGGACATGAATATATGGGCCCTAATACGGGCCGTATTTTGGGCTGTTACCGAGTGGGGGGCAATACCCAAACGAGTCCGTAGACTCTAATCCTTCGTTCCTTCCTACCATAATGCCAAAACCCTAAACCCAAAAAGCGTCCCTTCAGCTACAAACCCGAACTCTCAGCTCTGAACTCTAATTCCTAAACGAGTAGTTCCCAAAAATTAGGTTCCCATTTTGGTACTACCAGGTGCAGCACTCTATGCTTTATGGCCCGGAAGGGCCCCGGAACTTCCAGAATAGCCTGTAACGTGGTAGTTTCCATTTTCTTTCTTCTTTATTCCTTCGCTCCCTAGGAACCGCCAGTAAGTAAACCCCCAGCCGTGAACCCTAAACCCCAAACCCTAAATAGGCCCAGCAATAGGCCCAGCATGAATATTGATCAGTTCTAGTGCTAACAAGCACTATGGAAGCTCCTTTTTTGCCATTCCGTTGAGTTTGTATAGCCTTATTTAGCAATGTTTCTCTTTCCAACCCTAAACCCTACACCCTAAACCCTAAACCCCAAACCCCTAAACCCTAAACCCCACATCCTGCCAAACAGCTTTGCTGACCTGGCAAAAGGACGAGGCTCTCGCAGATTGTGGCATCCTCAGGACCAGCAGGGTTTAGGGTTGAGGGATTTGGGGATTAGGGTTTAGGGGTCTAGGGTTTAGGGTTAAGGGATTTGGGGATTAGGGTTTAGGGGTCTAGGGTTTAGGGTTAAGGGATTTGGGGATTAGGGTTTAGGGGTATAGGGTTTAGGGTTAAGGGATTTGGGGATTAGGGTTTAGGGGTCTAGGGTTTAGGGTTAAGGGATTTGTGTATTAGGGTTTAGGGGTCTAGGGTTTAGGGTTAAGGGATTTGTGGATTAGGGTTTAGGGGTCTAGGGTTTAGTGTGAAGCATAAAGTTGAGTGTGATCACCTGCCATCTCCGTACGAGTTTTTGATAGAGAACGCTGGTCCCCCTTGAAGCCTGGCACCCTGCAAACGCTGCAAGGATGACTCCGACAGGCATTTGGCTTGGATGTGGAAAGGGCGCGCTTGCGCTGCTCAGGTCGGGGCGCCCAGGTCTTTCTTAGGGTTTCACATTGGTAGCGGAGCTACCGGTAGGCACCTTAGCTTAGCCAGGGTTTCGTAGGGCCATGGCTACTTTCGACGGCGGTGACGGTAGTGTGCTTACCGGCGATCCTGAAGATCTAGCAGCGTCGGCTGCCGCAGTTGAGGAAGAACATAGTCAAGATTCTTCGAGTAACAGTCAAGGTTGTGCTGAAGATGAAGGTAGAGGGCAGAAAAGGGGTTTCTCGAACTCTACTTCGGGACGATGGGATAGCTCAGCTTCGTGGGGCGACTGGGACCATCAGCGGGATGAGGACCACCATTGGGAAGATCAATGGTGGTGCGATGGCTGGCATAATTGGCAGTCTGGATGGACCGGATCCTGGAAGGGTCGTGATGGCCAGCAGGACAACCACAACCATGACGAGAGCGACGAGTGGGAGTCAGACCCTTGGGCCGCCGCCTGGCGGAAGAAGCAAGACGAACGGGGAGATCGGCGCAGTGGCTGCTGGCGAGAACCTCGATGGTGCGGAGATCGACGTGGAGCCGATCAAGTTCCGGAGGCGGATGGTCGAGCTGATCTTCGACGGGAATACGATCGACCGGATCCAACTCGTGAAAAATCATCAGTGTGGAGCGGCTGGAAGCACTTCACCAACAGCGACTGGAGCGACCAGAGCTCGCATGCCAGCGATGAAAGCCGGCGGACTGGTGGAGGAAGGCCTTCTGAGAAGCTTACTGTTCCGAGCTTCTCGGGGGAGGACTCCGAAGACGTTGGGACTTCGGCCAGGTCGTATCTTCGACAAGTTGAAGCTTGGAGACGCATGACTTTGCTCCCCAGCCACCAGCAAGGACTCGTCCTTTACCAGCACTTGACGGGCAAGGCGTGGGTGGCTGCGGAAGAGCTCAGCGTGGACAACCTCGCCAAGGCGGCCGGCGTCGAGTACCTGGTGAAATGGATCACGAACAGATACCTGGATTTGGAGGTCACCCGTATCGGCAAAGCCTTTTCAGAGTTCTTTCGCCGCCTCAGGCGAAAGCCGGGACAGACCATTCGGGACTACAACAGCGAGTACGACAGGCTTCACGCTCGCCTTCGAGAAGTCGGGTGCAACCTTCCCGAGGACTGTGCTGCTTGGCTGTACGTTGATAGACTTCAGCTTGAGGAGGCTGCAGAGCTCAACTTGCTGGCCAGCGTCGGCAACATGTACTCGCTTCCTCGACTGCAGCAAGCGGCCGTGATCCACGACCGTGGACATCGCAAACCCTGGGAATCAGGGAACTCGGGCAAGGGGCGGAGGCCTCACACCGCCCACTACACGGAGGCGGATGACTCCTTCAACTCCGAGAACGACGATGGCGACGGCGAGGATGGCGAGGCCGGGGTCTCCGAGGAAGTGGCCGTGGCTTATGCGACCTACCAGACCGCAAAGCAAAGGTACAAGGAGCACCAGAAGAACCGCGGGTTTAACGGCTACACGAACGAGGGCAAGGGCGAGACTTCCCAGTCCGGGAAAGGTAATGAGAAAACCAGCGAGAAGATCAAGCTGATGAAGGCCAAGTCGTTCTGTTCCGGATGCGGAAGGCGAGGACATTGGCATAAAGACGCGGAGTGCCCGCACAACCAGCCAGGACACCAAAAGAATGGCGACAAGTCTTCCAGTAAGGCGGCCGAAGTGGGCTATTGCAACCTCCTCCCTGCAGAGGTCTTCTCCATTCGGCATGAGGATGCAGGGCTCCTTGGCATCACGGACACAGCATGTGCCCGCACGGTGGCCGGCACCCAGTGGCTGCAAGCCTACACCGACAAGTTGGCTACCTTGGGCGTCCGGCCAGAGCTCAAGAAGGAGTGTGAAGCTTACCGTTTTGGTACTGGGAAGATCTACTACTCCTCCTTCTACGTGGTCCTGGCATTCGAGCTTGGCAATAAGGTTGTGCAGGTGAGAACTTCGATCATCAATGGCGATGTCCCGCTCCTTCTTTCCAAAACAGTCTTGGGCAAGCTCGGCATGGTCTTCGACATAGAGAGAGGGCAAGCCGATTTCAACAAGGTGGGGCTCAAAGGGTTCGACCTTTTCGTTACTTCTTCAGGGCACCCTGCCATCCCAATTCAGCCGACCAAAATGGACGGCGATCCTGGCTCCTTCCAGGCCGAAGACTTGAAGCTTGTGCCCAAGAGTCAATATATGGCGTTTGCAGTTGCGCATAACCCCGGGAATGCTAAAAGCAAAGACTCCTATAACTTCTTCTACGACAAGAAGCTAGAGCCCGGAGTCAAGGAAATGCTTGTTCGAGAAAGGTTCCCACAAGATGACTTTATAGCATGGTGGAGCAGCACTTCAACCACTTCAGACTTTTGGCTAGAATGTGATCATGCTTGGGTAAGGATCCATGTTACTCCCCGCAAAGTTCTCTTCAATCCCTCGACATGGAAGACACGTGCTACAGTGCAGAAGGAGATGCTTGTTCAGACTGCCGGTGAGATCAGGGTGACAGATGGCGTTTGTTGCACTTCCAGTAGGTGGATTGAGTCAGTCGTTGATAGGTGGGAGCATGACAGACTCGATGAGCCCGCCTTCGCATTTCACTGGGTCGGGAGAACTTGGATAGCCAAGCGTCAAGCCCCTAGCTTCCCTCCTAGCAGCACGCTGCGAGCATGGAACAGGCGCCATGCAAGCCTCGTCCCATCAACCACATGAGCAAGACTCAGCTGCTCGAGGAGGCGAACCGCGCCGGGGTGATTGTCCATCACACTTGGGGAGCCACGGAGATCAAAGCTTGCATCATGGAGGCCCGGAATGCGGCAAAGGCTGCAGACCCCACGGAGCAGATGAAGAGGGTTTCGCACATGAGCTTGCCAGAGCTGCGAACAAAGGCGAACGAGTTGGGGATCGACTATGCCAACACGACAACAAAAGGCAACTTGCTTCGCCTGATCAGGGACTCGCTCAATACTCCAGATCAAGAACTTATGAAGATAGGAAAATTCAAGGGGTATCAATTCTGCGAGATCCCGAAGAGCTACGGCGAGTGGGTAGTTCGAGAGCTAGCCCAAGCAGACAGCCCGGACCCGGAGCTTGTGCGGTACGGGAGGTGGTTCAACAACAAGCAGAAGAACCCGGAGACGAGAGGCTACCTGGGAGACCAGGTGGCGCCACCATACCCGAGCTCTACGGCGGCCACTCGAGGACCAGAGTCGATCGCTGCATCGACTACCCCCTCGGCCAAGGAATCCTGGAGCCTTGTGAGCGACAAGGCCAGTGCGTCGTCGACTACAACCACGAGACGCAGGACCCGGATGGAAGCCGACGAGACCAAGAAGATGGAGGACGAGATGGACCCCAAGGTAGCGGCGGAGATTCAAGACCTCGAGACGAAGTTGGCGATCCTGAAGGACAAGGCCAAGACCGCAAGCGGCAAGTGAACGCCGCCCAAGGCTCCGATCGGAACGAGGACACCGAGAAGGAGCCCGACTCTAACAATGTCCTCGAGACCCCTCCTCGCGATGAAGGACCTTTGCAGAGCAGCGAAGTTGGCGGCCGTAAGTGCTGCCCAGAGCTCCCCCGCGATTGCTTCTTCTCCGAACTGGAGTTTGTGAAGGCCTATCGCGACAAGCATGAGGTCTGCGTGATTGATTTTGACCCGGGCGACCTCGCGCCACCCGAGACCGATGAGGACCACGACCTCTTCTATGACGTCCCGGACGAGGGCGAGGGCCTGGAAGTGTACGAGTGCAAGGAGTTCACCTTCGAAGACCGAGTCGGCTTTGCATATGACTCAGGCGACTTCGCCTTCAGCACGTGCCAGGAACTCCTTGAAGATGCGTTCAACTCTGTGCTCCGAGGCGGAGGTGGCAGGAGCAATATCATCGACGGTGCCAAGAACAGCGTGGTGCTTGGACAGTACGTTTATGGCGGCATGAGTGGCGTCACCAAAGCGGTGGTCAACCATACCGCCCTGACTCGGTACCTTAATCACTTTGTTGCAGCGCACACTCCTCAAGGCGCTACCTGGAGAGCAATCAGCGTCTTCAAAGGAGGGTCCGTGAAGGTCCATCACGACTACAACAACGAGGCCGGGTCGCGCAACTATTTTGCCTCCTTCGGACAGACTTCTGGAGGCGAGTTGTGGGTCCACGACAGCACCATCACCGAGAGCGACGTCGCTGAGGACAAGGACCGGGTCATCCAATGGCGGAGGACCGGAGCGAAAGAGTGGCTGCCTGGCAGGCTGCTCGATTCACAGGAGAACTTTGTCGAGTTTGACCCCCATATCAAGCACCACGTGATGCCGACCGAGGGAGAAGCCTGGCAGGTGGTGGTCTACACACCGCGCGGAGCCGAGAAAGTGAGTGCCGACACCGAAAAGTTCCTTAAGAACTGCGGCTTCCCCGGCATCAAGAGCAAAAAACGGACCAAGGGCGAGGGCGGCGGGAGGCCATCAAAGAAACAGCGGAACTCCCTCGCCAACTCCGTTGGGAAGCTCAGCGTCCTTTTCACCACCCTCATCGCGGCGGCTCACTCCTTTATATGCGAGGCCGTGCAGAGCGAGGTGATCAATGACCCGATTGTCCTGCTCGAGCTTGGCGGCTTCGAGGCCACTTTGGAGGCCACCGAAATGGGCAAGGCCGTGCTCGAGCCGCTCTCCTGGGAGGATTACCTCGACCCCGGCGTCAAGGACAAGACCCTTCACTTTGTAAAGGCCGTGACTCCGAGGCATCTCCACCTACATTTTGGAGGTGCGCCGGAAGAGACCCACGACGACCTCAAGATCCTCGTCAGGGAACAAACTAGAAGGCGGAGGGGCAGTGGTGTTACAAGGCGGTCAGCCCGAGCTTGTCGTCAACAACCTCCAGCACTACCAGCGCTATAGCAACAACCACGAGGGGGAGGACTGGACGGTGCTAGCCCGACCCGGGAGCAGCAAGTATCTCGAGGTCCCGGGCAACCTCAACCCCCACCAGGTGCTTGTGGTTAACGACGACAAGGACAGACATGAAGAGAAGCCGTTGAGGATAGATGGATCTGGCATTGTCTTTGAGGAGGGCGTCCCCGGACATGTGCGTTCCGCACTCAAGAGACTGCACCAGAATCTTGGACACCCAAGGACGCCGGATCTAGTACGTCATCTCCGACTTTCTGGATGTGAATCCGCTGTGCTGAAGGCGGCCAAAGGGATGAAATGCCAGGTCTGTGACTCCACCAAGGACCCGCAGGTAGCCAGACCCGCTTCTATGCCAAGAATGTTAACCTTTGGCGAGATTGTGGCTGCGGACATCCTGTACGCCCACGACTGCAACGATAGCCGACACGTCTTCCTGTCTCTGGTGGACGTTGGCACGACCTACCACATCGTGATAAAGCTCCGGAACACCAGCGGCAAGGAAGTCGAGCAGGCTTTCAACACCTACTGGGTGACGCCTTTCGGCGCCCCCAATGCCGTCTCTCTCGATCTCGAGACAGGCTTGCAGGACGGCTTTTCGAGGTTATGCAGTTGGCATAACGTGAAGATTCGCAATTCAGCGACCCAAGCTCACTTCCAATCGGGGGTGGGCGAAAGACAGGGTAAGTGGTGGAAGAATATATGGGCCCGCGTGTGCAAGGAGCTCTCGATCGAGGCTGACGAGGTGCAGTTGGCAGCAACCATGGTGAGTGGGGCGAAAAACAGCCTCAGGAGGCGCTGTGGCCACTCCCCGACTGCATGGATATTTGGCCGTGAAGCTCGTGGCGTCGAGGATGTTCTCGATCCTGACAGCGGAGGACGTGTGACCTTCGACGTCTCGGACGACGCTCGCTTCCAGAGGCAGGCGGCAATACGGGCAAGCGCCCGTATAGCTTTTTATAAATCAGAAAATGATGGAAAGCTCCGTAAAGCACTTCTTCAACGAGCACGTGCTGTCACTCGGCCCTTCGAGAACGGCGAGCAGGTGCACTATTGGAATCTTCCGAAAAACAGGAGGCAGGGACGCTGGGAGGGTCCAGCCGTGGTCGTGGGCAAGGAAGGGAGCAACTACTGGGTGTCCCGAGGGGGGCGCTGCAGGCTGACTGCGCCAGAGCACCTCCGGCCGTCGGGACCCGACGAAACGGGTGAATTCCTGGCGATGAATGGTGTCAAGCGGGAGTTGGACCAGCTGCTCCAGGCAGACTTCGACAACGATGAGGCGTACGACAGCGAGGACGAGGGCAACCCCGGAGACCTCGACGACATCGACTCGCCGTACTCCCCGTCCGACAACCCCGTCGACGACGAGGAAATGGCCGAGGAAGGCAACGGCAACAAGGACGAGCTCGACAAGGGCGACTTCGATGACGAAGGAGACGTTGTCCTCGAACCACCCGGCGACCCCAACGACGATGTCGACAATAACCTCACCGACGCGCGGGAGGACGAGAAGCGAGGATGGCCGGCGTCTCGGATGAAGAGGAAGACGCCGCCCGAAGACATCGACTGGAAGGGACAGGACAATTTCCTGTCCTACAGCGTCATGATGATGAAGCGTCATCTGACAAGGCGAGGGCTCGAGAAGAGGCAGGAAAAGGAGTTAAGGTGGGACGAGATCCCGCCCCACTTCCAGCAGAAGTTCAGGGAGGCGGAAGCAAAGCAATGGAGCGAGCATCTGCACTTCGATGCTTTGGAGCCTCTCGATGACGCTGCCACCGAGTACGTGAAGAACAACTTTCCCAAAGAAAGAGTGTTGCGCTCTAGATGGGCATACAAAGACAAAAATTGGTCGAGGAGGAGATTGGAGGGGCAAGCCGAGTGGCGCTGTAAGTCGCGCCTTGTGATAGCAGGACACACCGACCCGGATTTGGCTTCGGGACGACTTGTCACAGACGCCCCGACGCTTTCGAGGCCTGGACTGCTTTGCTTGCTACAACTGCTCGCAAATGGACTTGGAGAACCTGATCGGTGGCGGGTGTCGGCTGGAGACATTCAGTGTGCCTTTCTGACGGGCAGCTATCTTAGCCGAGAGGAAGAATTGTTCATACACCAACCACCAACTGGCTTCCCAGGGATGAAGCCTGGACAGTTGGTTCGGGTCAAGAAGAACATATTTGGCTTGGCTACGAGCCCTCGGGAGTGGTGGTTGGACCTTCAGGACGGCATCGGCAAGATTAGCATCGACATCGGAGAGAGCTGCCATCGTTTTGAGCAGTGCCCGCTGGACCCCTGCATCTTTGTCCTCAGACAGTTCTCGAACGCGAACTTCACCGGGGTCCCGAAGGGCTACGTCGGAACCCATGTCGACGACCTGCTGGTGATTGCGGGCGCCTCTGTCTCGAAGCTTATGGAAGAAGCGCTGGCGCAGGCTTTTCCCATCGGAGAATGGGAGAGCGAGCTCTTCAACTATTTGGGGTCTGAGATCTACTTTGGCGACGACGAGGTGGTGCTCTCCCAGCAGGCCTATGCTGAGAGCCGGCTTTTCTCCTTGGACATACCGCGTGGCGTGGACGACAACGACTACGCTGGCCCGGACCTCATCGCGGACAACCGAAGTCTGGTGGGAGCACTGTCCTGGTTGTCGGCGCAGTCTAGGCCGGATCTCACCTGCTCTGTGAGCATGGCGCAGCAACTCCAGAAACAGCCCACCTTTGCGGACTTGAAGTTCACCAATCTCGTCTCTAAGAAAGCATACGACCACAGAGAGGAAGGCCTCAGGTTCAAGCCCATCCCGGCCGATGAGCTCATCGTCATCATCTACCACGATGCTGGATGGGCCAACGCCAGAGACACAGAGCACGACGAGCCCGGCTTCGAGCTGACTGACGAAGACAAGTTGGCAGGGCTGCAGCAAGAAGGGCCTTTCGTGGCAAAGAGTGCGAGGAAGGCGAGGAGACAGAACTCGAAGGTGGCCTCCCAGCTTGGGGAGCTGATCGTCTTTGCGGAGAAGGGCTGTGTCATGGGAAAAGGGGGAAATTTCAGTGTCTTGGATTGGAAATCCAAGGCCGGGCAGAGAGTGTGTAGGAGCACGTTCTCAGCAGAGACGCAAGCTTGCGTGGAAGGAGTAGAAGCCGGGCAACATGTTCGGGCGCTTTTCGAGACGCTGGCCAGTGGGGAGTTGGTGAGGGTCGAGGACAGCCGCGTCCCTCTGATTTGCCTGAGCGATTGCCGGTCGTTATACGACCATGTTCACAAGCAAGGGGTCCCAAGGATCCCGTCGGATCGTAGATTGGCCGTAGACCTTGCTGCCCTTCGCCAAGCCCTAAAAGGGGAACAGTGGAGTAGCAAGCTTCCCTTGGCATGGCTCGCCAGCGCATATCAGCTGGCCGATGTGCTGACGAAGCCGCAGGACCCCAGTAAGTGGTGGCAATTTTTCAGAAGCAAGCTGTTGGTGCCAGTAGATTTGAGCAGGGAGGCTTCGACCAGCATAGAGCTGGGGAAACTAGGGAGGACCAGTGTGAAGCATAAAGTTGAGTGTGATCACCTGCCATCTCCGTACGAGTTTTTGATAGAGAACGCTGGTCCCCCTTGAAGCCTGGCACCCTGCAAACGCTGCAAGGATGACTCCGACAGGCATTTGGCTTGGATGTGGAAAGGGCGCGCTTGCGCTGCTCAGGTCGGGGCGCCCAGGTCTTTCTTAGGGTTTCACATTTAGGGTTAAGGCATTTGGGGATTAGGGTTTAGGGGTATAGGGTTTAGGGTTAAGGGATTTGTGGATTAGGGTTTAGGGGTCTAGGGTTTAGGGTTAAGAGATTTGGGGATTAGGGTTTAGGGGTCTAGGGTTTAGGGTTAAGGGATTTGTGATTAGGGTTTAGGGGTCTAGGGTTTAGGGTTAAGGGATTTGTGCATTAGGGTTTAGGGGTCTAGGGTTTAGGGTTAAGGGATTTGCGGATAGGGTTTAGGGTGAAGGGTTTTGGGATTTGGGGGGGTTCCTTGGACACTTTTATCCCTAAGAGAGCATTACATTGTTGAATTCTGGTATAGTGTGGAACGCTCATTTCTGCAAATAAGCATTTAGCTTAAGGATACAAGGTTAGAATTCAGGGTTAGGTAGGCGCTACATTGCTCTGTCTAGAGCTTAGGAGGTTGGGTCAGTCCCCTGACAGGAACCGAACACCATGGACGTGGTGGAGCCTTGCAGATGAAAAAATTCCGGCCCATTTCGGTAAGCCGCTAGCCCTATACCCCAAGGCCCTCAACCTCCAGACTCCTTGTATCCCTATAGTCCCCCTTAATCCGAGGACTAGATTAATACAGGGGACCATATTTAAAGAATTTTTTGGGGAAAATTAGTGGTCAAAGACTAATTTAGAATAGGTGGCATTTCGTATGGGGAAAAGGGACCTAGATTTAAAGAATTTTTTGGGTGACCTATCCTGAAAATCGAGATATTCAATGCATTCCTATTCATTTTTTAACTCGTAGGAGTCCAAGAGCTCCGATGACGCGGGAATGCATTCCTATTCTGTTTTAATTGAATTCCAGTAGCCCCAATCATTCTTTTAGTCTGGCGCCCTCCATTTCTTATTCTGGCGGGGGGGGGGGTAAAAGGTTTGAGGGCATGGGTTCCTCGTTGAAATTAGGGACTACGTTAAGGACTATACTAAACTGCAAGAGGGAGACCTATGTCCGCTGTTCGGGGTCCGTTAATAGTAAGGCAAGTATTTCCAGTAGCTCATAGATTGGTGTCTAGATTGGGCCTCGCTATTTCTGGAAGCTACCATGTCATTGGGCAAGTAATCAGTGAACGGAACAACCAAACCCTAAACCCCTAAACCATAAGCCCTAAACCCTAAAGCCCGGAGCTTGTCATGCGCGAGAGCCGCCAAATTTGAGAGTTGCTTACAGGAGCCCCTCGAAGTCAGTACGAAAAAGGAGAAACGATACTTCTGAATACTTTTCCATAGTTTGGTGGTTTCAGGTATATACACGGTGGACTCAGCTAATCCGAACAATCACAAGGTTCGATCTCGAAACATGTGCGAGCAGTAAACTCGACCATATAAAACATGTGCAGTCTACAAGCTATCCCTGCAATGCCCCTAGACCTAGGATAAACAGATCAGTCTGACAGATTCTTAAGGCTAGACTAGAATGAAACCCTAGGGATCCAAATAGCCCAATGTAGGTAATATTTACCGACTCTAGGGCCCAATGTAGGTTGTATTTGCATACTTGGATCCCTAGGGAAAATGAAGGAGTCCCTACACCCTAAACCCTCAACCCTAAATCCCTAAACCCTAAACCTAAATCCCTAAACCCTAAACCCTAAATCCCTAAACCCTAAACCCTATGAACACCAGGAATCCAAAGGGAATCAACATGTTTTGTGCGTCTGCGGTCAGACTGCGCGTTGCCAACTCAGGCTTCGGGTTGCCGAAGCGCGGCGGCCTCACATATAAAGCAGTGTAAATATAGATAGTATATATATATATACAGTCCCCCTTTAAGTAGATAGAATATGGCTTTGGGTATATTTCAAATAAGATGCCCATATACCCCATATTCTATCTACTTAAGGGGGACTATACACCTAAAGTTTCAGGACGACTAACAAAAAAAAGGTGAATAATGTGGATGACTGGGGTTACTATATGGCTTAATTAGAGAGTTATAAGCATACTTACTAAGTGCCCCCATGACCCTCCAAGCACAGAATATAGGGAGATGTAAAATTATGTAGGGGAAAATAAGGGGGTATATGGGGATTATATGTGACAAGGTGTCGGGATTAATGTGTTGGGTTTAGGGTTGTGGGCATAAGGGGTTAGTATTTAGGGGTTAACGGTTGAGAGGCTGGAGCCCAAACCTGCGGCACAACAGACGGAGATTCCAAGTCGTCAGCCCTCGAGAACTTTTGGGCCCTCAGATGGGTCAAGGGGACCTCGTGCCCCTGCATGCACCAGGTGCCATGCGTCAAAAGGTATCACCAAAGTGTGCCCAGACTTTGTGAATTACCCATGTGCTAAGGCTAGATTCCTTCGCATTGAGGGCTAGGGTTTCAGGTTTAGGCTGCCAAGCTTGGCGCGCTCCAGCTTCGAGAAAGTGGCTGAGGACTTGATTCATCGGCTGGATACACATGCGCTTGTGAGTGGGGAACCTAACGTCCACTAGTCTAAACAACTCCTCTCGCTCTCCACTGCCAACAGACTGCACGAAGGAGAAGCCACTGAGCAAGCATCTACAAACCTCTGGCAATGGATTTCGTGAGACCATCTTCTGGGTTGCAGTTGTGGGACTTAAGCTAGGTTACCATGATATGCATGCTTGCGGACATTTACTGTCAAAATATGGAGTTTCCTTATCATAGGTACTTACCCGAGGATCCCAAATCGCTATGTTCACAGCCCTGCCCCTCCCCACTTGCCGGTCATTGCAAAGACCGGTGAACTCCTTTCCAAGGCACAGCGCGCAGCCCGAAGTGGGGGGGGGGGGGGTTCCCAAAATTAGGTGTACATCTAAATGGGTTTATGGGGGTACGTATGTAAGGTTTAGGGTTTCCCCAAATTCCGCTTACCTGTTTGGGTCCCCCTATTTAGGGAAGCTGCCAAGTATTTGCAGGGGCAGCTTCCAAGAAGATAGATCTGCAGGTCATCGCAAAGCTGACACCCCCTCCAAACTCAGGGCAGCTGGACTTCAGTCTCTACTTTGCGCAGCCGCGGTTTAGGGTTTCGGGTTTAAGGCTGCTCTTCAGCCTCTTCTGTGCGGAGCCCGGGGGCAGGGTAATATGGTTTAGGGTTATCAGCTCCCCTAGTAAGCAGGTTCCCAAAAAGATTAGTAACCCCAGGGTGCCACAAAGTAGGCTTTATCATCTCGCCAGTTTTCTAAACCTTAAAGCCTAAACCTTAGACCCTAAAACCCTTTACCCATAAACCCTAAACCCTAAAGCAAAGACCCGAAACCTTAAACCCTAAATTCTAAAAATCCTAGATCTCTAAACCCTGAATCTTACATCTCTAAACCCTAAACCTTCAACCTCAAACCCTAAAATCAAACCTTAAACCCTAAATCCCTTGCACGCCAGAAGCTGGGGCAACCGCTCTTAGAGCTTCGCACCAGACAGGTAGGACTTGGCCTGGGTGAATCAGGGGGCTCTAAAGATGGGATGCAGGTAGGAGGGTTTAGGGCTGAGGGTTTAGGGTTCAAGATTTAGGGTTGAAGGTTTAGGGTCAGCTGTTGCAGATTCTGCTATGTTCAGGCTTACTCCCATACTCCACCTGACCTTTTGAGCCATCTGGGTACAGAGCTGTTACCCTAGTGTTTAGGATACATAGGGCTTAGCACTTTTGGTAGGGGATTGGGGGATTAGGGTTTAAGAGGCTTTCGGATCAGAGGTTCGGGTTTCGAGTCTAGTGTTTGGGCTGTAGGGCTGCGGGTTTACGATGTGGGTATGATGTGGTGGATTATTGAAATAGGGGCCTCTGAGGAAACTAGGAAAAGGAAATGAGAGGGCTGCCGGGATTTGAGGGACTTTTCGACATCTGCCATGGAAACCTTCAGGGCCCGATAAGAACTATACAGGGATCTTCGTCATAGATTTTTTACATGGCTTGTTTTTGAGGACCACTAAATCTTACAACCAAACCCTACACCCTAAACCCACATACCTCCCAGAAATTGAGCCCTGAATCCGCTGGAAGGAAGGGGCCATGTAGGGATCCGTCAGCCCGCCTTCCCTTCATCACCACACACCAATCCCTATAAACCCTAAACCAATGCGAAGACCTTAAGCCTGAAAACTTGATTTCCCTAGCACCTGCCAGAAATCCGATTACTGCCTCCCCTAAACCCTAAACCGTCCTACATCCTAAAGCCCCAGCCCTCCCTTTGAACCCATACCCTCAAAGCGAAGGCCTAAGTGCATAACTCTTTAACTCCAACCCTCCCTTTCACCCCAGACCCTAAACAAGAACCCCCCATAATTCCTAAACGCTAAGCCCTGCACCCTAAAAAGTAAGTTCTAAACCCTAAACGCTAAATCCTACACCCTGGATCCTAAATCCTAAGCCCTTAGCCCTGAATTCTAAATCGTCAACCCCTTCAGCCAACCCGAGACCCAGGCCGTGTTCAGAGCATCCATTTCCTCAGAGCGGGCCTGTGACTCTGGGTTCCAGGGAAGTTCGGCGGGTTAGGGTTTTAAGGTTAGGGTTTGGGATTTTGGGTTTAGGGTTTTAAGGGTTTAGGATTCAGGGGCCTAGGGTTCAAGGGTTTAGGATGTAGGGGGTTAGGGGAAGATGTAGATGCATTTCTGGGAAATCCTAGGGTTCGGTGGACTAAGGGCTTGGGATTATGTGAGGGCATGGACGATTACAAAAGGGATTGGGGCTGAGGGTTTGGGATAGCACCACAGATATGCGATGTTACTGCGAGCATGCCTTTCGAAAAGCTACCATTGGGATCTGCGAGTGTACGGAGCAACGGGTCTAAGAGCAACATACGGATGGTTCACCAAGCCTCCTGCTGCAGAGGTTTCAAGTACCAGCTACGGTACCAGCTAAAGCTATCCCCCTTTTGGCACCAACTTCAACGCAA